TCTTCTAGAGATTCCACTAGGAAGAATGGCCAGACCCTAGTGAGATGTGGGTGGAGAAAAAAGATGTAGGTAGAACAAAGGAAAGATATTTATAGATGCAGGAAGAGAATTGGGGGGGGGGATTGAGGGGGAGGCTGCAAGGACTGAAAGTGACTCAAGAGAAAGAGTAAAGAAATGTTTGGCACCATCCTTTGGGCTCTGAGTATATTTGTAATGCGCTATGAGTGAGATTTATTTCCTTCTAGTGAAAGACTCCCTCTGCATATTATTGCCAAGGCATAAGTGCAGGGTATATGCATTTCACAGGGGAGGAAACTGAGGATCTGGAAGTAAGTCATTTATTCAAAATCACACTTTTAGGTAAGTGGCAGGACCAAAATTTGTTTGACCCCAAAGTCCATGCTTCTTTATTTCTGACATGAAGAGCATGGCTAAGTCTAGAATGAGTGAGTTATGGGTGACAAAGCAGAGAAAAATTAAAAACAGGAATAGTTTCATATGTAATTTAAAATACTGGATTGTATACTCACTGTAGAGGTTGTTAATATTTGTTGTTTCACCAAATCCAGATACCAGTGTATCATCTAGAAAATGGATGCAACCTAAGCAGTAGATATTCATAGCTACTAGCTATGGATCACTTTACTTTTAACAAAAGTTGCTGAATTGTTCATAGGCTTTAATCATTTGAGTTTATTTCTGAAGTTGCAGTATATATAACATTTCAGGTATGAAAATATTCCTTGAGTCCAACCTTAACATGAAAAAGTATTTAAAAATTCAAAGGTCTACTGACCAACAAGGAAATTGCAAGGAAGGCGAGAAATTCACAACTGAGGTCAAACAGGAACCTTCAACAGTACATTTCACAGAATATTTTCTCAGGTCATTTATGTAGCAGTCATTCCTTAAAATTTATAGAGAAAATATAAGTTAAATATTGTCGTAATTCTTGACCTTTTCAGATAAACTTTGACCAAGATCCAGAAGCAAAAACAATTAGTAGCTAAAAATTTGGGAGAAATGTAAAATTTGGTCTGAGAAAAAAGAGAAGCCCTAAGTACAAACTGATACAAAGATGTAAAAATTTATTAGGATGTTTATGAGCTCTTCCAGGTCATAAATGAGAAGCAGAGAACTAGCTTAGATAACTAACAGAAAAGAAAATAATAAGTGGAAGGGAGGGGGTGTTCCAACATCTAAGGGAGACCTAAGCATGAGGGTGCTGTAGAATCTGCCTTCGTGGAGATTTGCAAATAGGACAAGAGCACTATTTCTGCCTAGAGCCTTGAGAATTAAATCAAAAGACCTCTTCAGGTCTTTTCTTGTCTGGTGTTCCTTTAGGTTTAATTACATTTCCTGGGTAATACCAGAAAATAATAGAAACTACAAAATCTAAGACCTTAGGGTCTGGAGTCAAACAGACCCCACTCTGAACCAAACATATGACTACTAACTTTTAATGCCTTGGGTCACCCAGCAATCCTGTTATATTTCCTAATCCACTCATTCCCCAAGGTAAACATTTCACACCTTCTCTTTTGCCCTCAAGCCTTCAAATCTCCTCTCTGTCCGCTTCTCATTCTTCACTGAGAAAATAGAAACAATCATAAGAGAACTTCTACAAACTCCTACCAACACATCTACCAACATCCCTGCATCTGTAAACACAGGGGTTGCCTTCCCTCCTGTTACGACGGATGAACTATCTGTGCTACTAAGATCCACACCTCCATTTGTGCACTAGATCCCATCCTCTGTCTTCAAATCAAGATGTTGCTCCAGTAATCACCTGCATCAAATTTTCTCCCTTTCCTGGAACATTCCCATCAGCCAATAACATGCTGTAACACCAGCCATCATTCTCTTCCCGCCACTCTTCCATTTGAAGAAAATATCTCTAAATCTGTCAATGTCTTCACGTCTTTTTCTCCCTTTTCCTTTGAACCTGCTTCAATCAACCTTTTCTCACCACTATTCCATCAAAAGAACTCTCGTTGAGGTCCTCAGTAAAATTCATCTTGTCTAGTCTAATGGTAACTTCTTAGCCCTCATCTTATATGAATTGTCACCTATATTTGACCCAGTTGATTTCACATCTTCCTTTCTCATGTTCTCTCTTGGGTTCCAGGAAAACACTCTATTTTGATTTTTCTCCTTTCTCAAGGTCTCTCTACAGTTTCCTCCACTGATTCCTTTCCATCTCGCCAACCTCTAGGTGGAGTACCCCATGGCCCTGTCCTCTGGCCACTTCTCTTCTCTCTCTACACTGATGCTTTGGTTGATCTCATCTGGCCTCATGGCTTTCTATACCATATTCATGATGAAGGCTCCCAAATTTGTTTCTCTGGCCACGATCTTTCCCTGAACACCAGATTCATATATCAAACTGCCTACTTGATATCTCTACCTGGATGATAGATAAGTAGGCATCCCAAGCGTGGCGGAACCCCTGATCTTCCCTTCTAAGTCAGCTCCTCCTGCATTGTTCCCATCTCAGAAAATGGCCCCTTGATTTTTTCCTTTCCTTGGGCAAAAATCCTTGAAGTTATCCTTGACTCCTCTCTTCATCTCACAGCCCATAAATGATCCATCAGCAAAACTCTGTGACTCCTTCTCAGATCATGCCCCGAATCTGACCACTTCTCATCACCTTCACCATTTCCACTGTGGGTCTAACCCACCTTCATCTTTTATCTAGATTACTGCAATGCTTTTGCCCACCTAGATTTATTCTCCAAAAGGCAGTCAAAAGGATCCTTTTGGAATGTAAATCAGACAGATTTTCCAACTTGAAATCCTTCTGTGACTTCCTCTCTCATTCAGAGTAAAAAACCAAGGACACACCATGGCCTATGAGGCCATATACATATGGTCTGCAAACCACCCTCATACACACCTCTCTGACTTCTCTTCCTCCTTGCTCACTCTACTTCAGCCACTCTGGCTTCTTTGCTCCTCCTCAAACATGCTGAGCTCTCTCCTACCTCAGGATCCTTGTACCTGCTTCTCTTTATGCCTGGAATGCTGTCCCCCGCATCCCAGGTATTCACATGACTTGCTCCTTCAAGTCCTTATCTTCTTTAATTGGCCTTTCTAAAATAGCACATACACAAACAGCAACAACAAAAAGGCATTCTCTTACTTTCTTTACCTTGCTTTACTTTTCTTCATAGCACCTACCATATCAGAGTATATATTTGTTTGTTATTTTGTTTTTTTTCTGTCTCCCACTAGAAAGTGTGTTCCATGAAGGTCATTTTGGTTCACTGCTCTATCTCCAGCTCGTAGAACAGTGCCTGGCACATAACAGGTGCGTAGTAAATATTTGTTAAATAAGCAAATGAGTGAACTTGACCGCTAACTCTGTGTGACTTTAGGAAAATATCTTAATGCTATTACCTGTTAAATGAGGATAATGCCAGTGCCTCCCTCAGAGGTTATTATAAAAATAAAATGAAATAATCTGTATAAAGCCTACTTAAAACTCAACAAAGGACACTATTGTAACATTTTATTTATTATCCTAGTCCTCCTCATCATAATCATTTGGAATTCTCTACAAAAATTGTATAAAGTTCCAGGACATTATGAGTTTTACATATAATTTTAAGGGGAAAAAAATGACAATCTTCTATTAAGACACTGACAATCAAGAGAAAATCTCTCGCTGAGATCACAGGAATCACTGAACTCGTCATTTCTACATCAGAACATTCTCTGGGTTGTCCATCTGGAATTTGCCCTGACTGACTACACTCCCCTTAAATTCTTTAGTGGAATTCTTCTTCCACCTAACTCATACTGCAGGATTTCCAACAAGTCCCTGACATTTTACCAAGGTAGGGTGTAGAACTTGGCTGCGAATTCAGTAAAACTGCTGTCCACTAGCTTTTCGTGACCCGACATTAGTTAGCTGGTTTATATGTGAAACTCTTCTGCTTCTTGTTAATTACTTTTTTAGAATGAATGGGATCCTAGGTACGGTGTCACTTGATTTCTCTATTTTAATGAGAAATACATTATGCTTTCCAAATTAATTATCGTCATCAACCTAATGCAAACTCTCTTCCATGTGCCTATTGCTCCCGTTATTCCTCTACCATGTCATTTACCATGTTTGTCTCTCGCACTAGATTCTAAGCTACTGCAGGGTAGGGACCATGTCTTAGTCATATCAGTATTGTTAGCCTCTGGTCCCTGCTAGCCCATAGAGATTACCTATAAATATTGTTAAAAATAAAGGCTGTGCAGTGTGATAGTCCAAGAACGGACACTAGGACCAAATGACCTAAGGCTGAAGCCTGGCATGGCCACTGTGTGAGATCAGGCAAGTTACTTAGCTACTTGTGCCTCAGTTTCCTCCTTTGTAGAATAAGGATAATAATATTTACCTCAGGATTGTGATAAGAATTAAGTGAATTTAATTAAGAAATGTTAAATGCCTATAACAGTGTGCTTAATAAATATAATTCATTATATATAATAAATAGAATTATTAGTACTTAATAAATGTTAGCTTTCATTAAACTGGAAAACTCAGTGGCCCTTTCATGTCTTCAAACTAACTAATTCCAAAGTAGGCTTAGTTATCTTTAGATAAGACATTCTGCTTAAGAGGTGGCAAGTGCGCACCTGTCTGACACCATTCACCTCTCCTGCAAACTTAAAGTGGCCTTCTGATCTTCTTCAACTCAGTCCCTCAGGAAGCCACTATCAGTTCATTGGTGTTTACACAAGTCAAGGAAAATTATCTGCCACTATTGTTCTCCTGCCTCCCTCTCAGCGCCAGATTTCAAACAAACTGGGACCAGGACGAGAGAGCTAGGGTTTATATGTAAATAGAAGGTCAGATAGAGGATCCGAGGCAATTAGCCAGAAGACTCAAGCCTCAAACAAACTTGAGTTATTTGGAGATTTCAGACCAAGCCACCCCTTAAGTCTCCATTACCCTGCCGACTACTCAGTTCTGCGCTTGGCACCCGTGGAAACAGCCTCACCTTATGGAACTGGGGAGGGTATATTCGGGCAGCCCCATGGTTCAACAGTAGTTGGTAGCAGATCTCGGGCTGGGCCGCAGGTCGCACGTTGGTGACCTTCAGCACGTACTGGATGGCAGCACAGCCATTGATATCCATGAGATTGGCTTCGGCACCAGCTTCGAGCATCATGTGCATGAGCACGTGGTCACAGTTCCAGGCTGCCTTGTGGAGTGGAGATTTAAAGTCGTCATCCCGGGCGTTGACCTCGGCGTTGTAGTCGAGCAGCATGCGGCAGACGAGGTGGTGGTCCCCGCTGTACTCCTGCTCTTTAAAGCGGAGGGCCCAGTAGGTTGCAATAGCCAATGGGGTCTCCATGTGGGCGTTCACACTGTCCACTACCGCCCCGTGCTCCACGTAGAAGGCCACCAGCTCTGCGAGACCGAAGTGCGCTGCCGTGTGCAAGGGCGTCTCCTCATCCTGATTGTTGGTCTTCATGTTCACGTTCGCCCCTAAAAGGGAGATGGAGGAAGACAATTATTTAAACATATTTTGCCATTATGCTCAGGGTTCATTAAACAGGACTTTTCTCACTGCCTCCCTTTTAACCTCTAACTGCCATACACTATCCATTTTTCCCAAGTTCCATTTCTGGCTCCCATGGAAGCCGCTCTTTTGAAACAACAGTGCCATCCCCTGGACACCCAGCAAACGCACCGGGTCCGGGCGGGGAGGGCGTGGTGGGAGTTGGGGGAAGAACAAAGGATTTCCGCGTAAGGCTGGAGCGTTGTTTGGTGAGTTTTAGTTCTTACTCCCAGTTGGATTTGGAAATACAGTGATTCCCATAACTAAATAGTTTTTATCAATAAAATAGCAAATATTGAAAATGAAGGTTATAGCGCAACGTTTGGAGCTCATACAAGTGGATTTAAAAATTATCACTTTCTTTGAATGTTTCACAAAATTATGTTTTTCTTCTCTTTCAAAGCAGGAAAACCTGAAAGTTTAGTCCAAGCAAACTTGAGTGGTGTGGGAATTTCCCAGTCTGACTGAAAACTGACGGTAATAGAGCCGCCTAAGTCAATGAGGCTTCCTTGGAACACCACTGAGGAAAAAACAAAAATCCCAAACACTTTGACCACCAAACTAGCCTAAAGGTCATATTTTGCATTGAACGGGTTAGAAGTTGGTCATTGAAAGAAAGACAATGATTTAGAGACTGTAACATATTTGATTTAAGCTTGACAACTGTTGTTAGGAATCCAAATTCTTTGTCCTTGGAAAGCTCCTTAGAAATCATTTAACCCGGCCCACTTATCTAACAGACCAGGAAACAAGTGAATTTTACTTTTCTAACAGGGCATGTTAAGTACTAGAACCATCAACTTGAGAAGCTGAAATTTTCCTTCTCTGCCTAATTTAAGGGGGTGAACCAAATGACCCATAGGGAGCCGACTCTATAATCAATTCTACTGGAAATTTTTTATCTACTTCAAGGATAAATCTGGAAAGACTTTTATTATTATGCCAGCAATTTATATTTGTTAAGCACTTACCATGTGCAACATTCTGAGCTAAATACTTTTCGTATATTGCCTCATTGAATCTTCCTAGCAGTAGCTAGAAAGTGTCTGAGGAGTGGCTTCCTAGCGTACCTAGTAGTAGCATCGAATCACGTTTGCAGTAAGTGCAATTTTTATCCTAATTTTACAGATGAAGAAATTTGTATTTAGAGAGGCTAATAACTACACCAAGCTAAGAAGCGATAGACCAGAGACTTGAAAGCAGACAGCCTGGCTTCAAAATTTCCTACCACTGTGCTATTCTACCTCATTATTTTTCTAGAAGAAAATTTTTCTGTACTTTGCTCTCTTTTGGTATTTGAAATCATGAAAGCAGTAGCGAAATCACGTTGCGTTTTGTTAATTTAAAGAAATCTGTTCTCCATGTATTGCCTCTTTATGCCCTCTTTTATGGCGTCCTCTGATCATATGGAACATATTGGAGAAAGGCAATACCCTTACAAGCATGCTCAGAACCCTATACAAAATCAACGCCCCAGTGAGGTTTCCAAGAGCGTATTGCTGTGTAGACTCTGAAAGTGTACGCCTAACTTGCAGAAAGGAGAATTAAAACCAAAGATCATCTTTCACGGAGCAATCTGTGTTCATCAGCATTCTGCCCCAGAGAAGTTCTGGGTCAGGTCTCCTTTCAGGTCAGCCCATCTTCGCTCTGGTGTGAAATGGAATGAATAAGAATGTCTTCCCAGAAGCTACATGCAGGGTCACTTCATACGCTGGAGAATTTCCAGTAAGGAAGGGAATCAAAGGGTCAGGATGAAAATTTTACAGGCCAACTTGGAACAAACCACATCCTTTATTTTTTAATGTACTCGGACATTTACAATTGATCTTTGACCTCGTGGTACAACTAGATATGCCAAGTAGTTTCCTTTTCTGTATAGAAGATCCTTATTTTTATAGTCGAGTGGTGACTTTGAGTGTAACTTTTCCAGGGAATCTATAAAGTAGGATGATTTAACTACTTTTTAATTTTAGGTTTTATGATTTATTCAAGAAATTAGAGACCATAAACATAAATTCTTGGGAACTTTTAAAAAATATTTTTGATGCAAAAATATAATGTATTAGTTTCCTAGAGCTGCCAGAACAAAGAACCACAAACTAGGTGGCTTAAAACAGCAGAAATTTATTCACAGTTCTGGAGACTGGAAGTCCAAAATTAAGGTGTCAGCAGGGTTGGCTCCTTCTGAAGCCTTTGAAGGAGAAGCTGTCTCATGCCTCTCTCCTAGTTTCTGGTGATGGCCGGCAATCCTTGATGTTCGTTGGCTTGTAGATGTATCACTCCAAGTTCTACCTCCATCTTTATGTGGCATCCTCTCTGTGTCTCTGTGTCTTCACATGACTGTCTTCTTATAAGGACACTAGTCATACTGCAATAGGGGCCCACCCTGCTCCTACTCATCTTAACTAATTACATATGCAACAACTCTATTTCCAAACAAGGTCAAATGCTGAAGTATTGGGGATTAGGACCTCAACATATCTTCTTTTGGGGGGGGGATACAATTCAATCCATAACATATAACATGCATTATATAAGATGTGCAAATACACATGTGCAGTTTAAAAAATATTGTAAAGCCGTCACTCATGTAATCATATTCCAGGTCAAGAAATCAAACACTCCCCGACCCAGAGAAGCTCTCCATGTTCCTATGTATCCTTCCCCATCACAACTCCTCCATTCCACCAGAGGTAACTATTATCCTGACTATTACAATAATCATGTCCTTGTATTTCTTTATAGTTTTACCACCTTTGTATATATCTCTAAACAAAATAGTTTAGTTTCATTTATGTTTGAACTTTTTATAAATGGAATAATAAACACATCTTCTTTTATGACTTGCTTTCACTCAACATTATGTTTGTGAAAATAATCTATGTTGTGATGTTTAGCTCTCATTTGTTCATTTTATTGTGTTCTGTCTCACAGCACATGTAATCCACAATTCAACCATCCTACTGGTGATGGACATTTCCAGTTTCAGGCTATTCCAAACACTGCTGCCATGAGCCTTCTCGTCCATTCTGGTATCCTGGTGCTCATGTGCAGCGGTCTCTCTGGGTTCTATACCTATGAGCGGAATTGCTGGGTCATTGGGTATGTATATCTTCAGCTTCATTAGATAGTGTCAGACAGATGTTGAACCAGTTTACACTCTCATCAGCCATGCATGAGGGTTCATGTTATGCCACAGTCTCATCAACATTTGCTAATTTTAGGCTACTTAATTTTAGCCAATCTGGTGGATGCATAGGGATATCTCATTGTGTTTGAATGCTGTTTCTCTAATTAATAATTAGGTTAGACAAATTTTAATATTTTTATTGACCAACATTGCCTTTTATTTACTATTTTAAGCATTTCCATGTTGTTATATAATCATTTTAAATATCATTTAAAAATAACTACATGTTGTTATAAACCAATGTTACTGCAATAAACAAAAAATTAAAAAAAAAAAAACTACATGATATTCCACAGAGTGAATTTATCCTACTGTTGGTTGTAAAAATTTTTTCCAAAGTTTTGATCTTATGACTGATGCTACAATTAATAAATTTGTATGTAAATTTTAGGATTATTTCCTTGGCATAAATTTCCCCAAAATAGAGTCATTAAGCTGAAACATCTGAACTATCTTAAGGCCCTTTATGAATAATTGCCAAAATATTTATATCTCTCTCTTTGATGCGTAAGAGTACTATTTCATTCACCAGTATGTCGTTGTACATTTTTAAAAAAATTTTTGCTAATTTGGAAGTAAAAAATGGTCTCTTTTTTGTAAGTCTGAATTCATTTGATTATTAGATTATTGAACATTTTCTCTGTAATTATTAACTAGTGGTATTTCTTCTTTAGCTAATTGTTCAAATGTTTGTCCTTTTATACATTGAACACTTTCTTCATTGTTTACATTTATGAGTCCTGCATTAAATTAAGATGTAAGCCTATGCTATCATAATCACTATAAATTTTTTAACATTTATTTTGATTTTTCTTAAATAAAATGAGGTTAACTTTAGATAGTCTAATTCTTCCCTTGTTTGTTTTTTTGTATTAGAATGTCCTACTCCTCTCAAAGGTTGCATAACTATTCAGATTCATTATAATTTAGTTTTTTATAGATTTTTTAAATATTTAATTCAACTGGAACTTATTTTGTTATAGACATCAATTTAGGAAGAATTGACATTCTTACAATATAGAGTCTTTCCATACAGAAAAATGGTCTGTTTCTATAAAAGTTTTTCTTTACATTTCTGTAAACTATACCCCCCAAATTTTGCAGCAATTTTCATTCTACAGGAGCAGGATAAATTATTTCTGGGATAAAGTAAGTTTTAATGAGAGAAGGCCTTTTATGAACCTTTTAATTTATGTAAGATGGTCTTCAGAAGTAGTCTGGAATGGTAGCAAATGAGACAGAAAAAATTTTAATTTGCACTGCTTGATAAAGAACAAAGACTTTTTAGATTTCATCTGTGGGCAAAGGAGACAGAGATTTGTGTGCACTGAGAATGTGATGATGAGGGGAGATAGGATAAGAATTTGAACAGAAAGATTGGGAGCTGGCCACAAGAAATGGTGGCTGGCCGCCTAGGCCAGGACCAAGGGAAAAGATAATCCTGAAGCCAGGATTACTGAGGGACACGGTGCCAGTCAATATTAAATTTTTTCTGTTCTCACATATTGTGTGATATTCTCCTTTCATTACCCTCCAACAAATAGAATCAATTTCATGAATCCTAGTTATGAGAGTTCATATTTCCTTATTTTTTTCCAAATAAAATTGAACAGCCTCCAAGCACCGATTTGTTAGGCTGGCTGATCATCCTCCATCCATCATCGTTGTGTCTCCATCTGCTGGGCTTTGCTACTCCCTACAGGCTGCGAGTTGGCGCTCAGAGGCATCCTCTCCAAA